ACTTCTTCCTTTCCTGTCCTTATTCTTTTCTTTCTCTTGTCTAATTGCTCTGGCTAATGTTTCCAGAAGTATGCTGAATAAGCATGGTGACAGTAGGCAACCTTGTCTTTTTTAATAGCAGCACAGTTAATAATAGATAAACTTTGGAAACAGCAAATGCCCATCAACTGATGAATGGTTAAAGAAGATATGGGGTTTTTTTATACAATGGAATACTACTGTGCCATAAAGAAGGATAAGCTTGAGACATTTCTAGCTAAATGATGCACCTTAAAACCATATTCTTAAGTGAAATAAATTGGATATACATGTGTAAATACCACACTGTTTTTCTAGTATGAGGAACCGTAAGTGTAAATAAAGACCGAAATATACAATAGATATTTTCAGATAAGAGGAAAATGTTCAAATGGAAAGGGGAACTACAGAGGGTTAGGGGGAAGGGGGAAAGGAAGGAAGGAAAAAGAAAAAATGAGAAGACAAAGAAGAAATGGAAAAAGAGCTTTTGTGAATAAGGAGGGTAAGAGGGGTTGAAGGGCCAGTAGGGAAATGGAACAAAGAATCAAGTTATATCATGCACAGGTATAAATTTTCTATGATGATTGTGATCATTATGTATAACTAAAATGTACCAATGAATTATTTTTTTAAAAAATGGAGAAATTGTACACAATTGCCTTTCTCCAGCTGTCTCAGTTACTATGCTCATTGCTGAGATCAAATAACACCCATGAGTTAAAGGAGGAAAGGTTATTTAGCTCAGAGTTTGTCAAAGTAGGATGCAGGTAAGCCTGTTAAGTTTTTCCTAAACCATGAAAAACCAAGTGTTTTAGGAAATATACGCATGCCAGGTGTGGTGGCACATACCTGTAATCCCAGAACACTGGAGGCTGAGGCAGGAAGATTGTCATGAATTTGAGGCCAGCACAGGCTACATATGTGAGTTTAAGGCCAGTCTAAAGGCCTTACTACATAGCCAGACTAAGGCCAGACTACATAGCAAAGCCCTGTCTCAAAAAGAAAATGTAGGGGCTGGGGATTTAGCTCAGCAGCACAGCGCCTGTCTGGCAAGTGCAACGGCGTGAGTTCGATTCCTGGTACCAGGGGAAAAAAATAAAAGCAAATCAAAAAGAAAATGTATTGATGACATTTTTCTATTAAAGACAAAAGGTGAGACCAAAACTAAGGAAATGTCATTCAGTCACGCAAAATGTTCCTTGGTGATTTGTATAATTATGGAGAAAAGCAAATAAACTACAAATAGTTATAAAATCTTTTATGTGATGACAACTTTAGAAGATGCATAAAATCAGTGGAATATAATGTGATAGAAAACTTTTCATTTGCTATTCTTGCTAGTTTTTTTTCGAATTACACAAAACTAAAGAACTTCACACTATGAGGCAGTTAAGTGAGAAGGCAGTAAGGATCAACAACTATTTCTTCATCACTGAAATCGAATGTCAGAAACTTTTTGATTGTTAGTAATAATTTTGTAAGTACCTACATAGAAAAAGTATGCATTGAGACCAAGAATGACTGAATATCACCAAAGTGCCACAGAGGGAGGTACTGTTACATGAATGTCAGCATTTGGACCTCAGGGTGGTCCAATACTGCTTTATTCACATTTGGCAATTTAAGTCTTCCTCCAGAATTTAAAATGAGTTTTGAAGAAAGGAAGTTGACTGTAATTATGATCAGATTATAGCAAGAATTTCTGACATGTTCCACAAGAGAATGGGTAGAAGACAGAAAATTCTGGATTTTATTTTGTTTCATACTCAAGAATCTTAGCTGTTAAGAGTAAAGATCTTTAAATAAGTTTTTAAAATTTTAGGTATAAAATGACAATAAAAGGAAGTTCAACAAAAACTACTGACTCTATTTCCAAAGGTTTGCCTTGGGGGCTATTCCATATCTGAAGAAGCCTAAACTTATTACTTTATTACAGACAACAAATCATCATTTTTAATAATCAGCAAAACCGAAGAAAAATCCTTAAGAGGGCTACACTTTTATATAAATGGACTAGTTGATAAATTGCTGAAACTTGTATAATCAGATAAACTAGAATTTATTGACAGATCATCAAACATATAATACTTCCCAGTGACTTTAAGTTAGGTCTGTTTTTTATTTTGTTTCTTTTGTTTTTATTTTTGTTTTTCTGTCTTTTTGAGACAGGGTCTCACTATGCAGTTCAGGCTGGCCTTGAGCTCACTTTATAGCCCAGGCCGGTCTTGAAATCACAACAATCCTCCTGCCTCAGCCTCCCGAGTGCTGGGATTACAGGCATGAACCACCATGCCTGGAGGGTCTCATTAATTTAGTAGAAATTTAAAAAATTAATAGACTCTATATGGATTCAACTGTTCAAACTCTTTCTTAAAGATGTATACAGATACCTGGCAAGACTGGAAATATCCCCATTCCCTCTTATTAACATAATTATTGCTTTTTCACTATTATAATTGCTATTAATATTAATATAAAAGTTTACTGCTCTTATAAAAGTTGTGATGAATATCCTAAAAGTTCTCTTAAAATTGGCATCCCTGGATAAGCACTGTATGGTTTATAGATACCCAAAGATGGAGCCACATCAATTCAGAGGATGGACTGGAGGGAGGAACAGGTAGGTCAAGAGATAAAAAGTAAGACTAATGGATTCATAGAGGTCTAAGATGGCAGCACTAGAGAGGAAAGTAACCAATAGGTGAACAGCATAACAGGAAGGGAGAATTTCCTGATGTTATGAAGCAATGCGTATGGACTACAGGAGGGGTATCACTACTAAGACAGAGTGTGAGATTCCAAAATTAGAGGAATCATTATGTCACATCAAAGAAAGGAAGGAAGCCCGTAGGAGACACTGGTTTATCCTACAAATCGAAGATTTTGGTATGAACCTGTTCAGTTTTAAATGAATATGGTAAATGAGAGCAAACAGGAAGAATATACTGACCTATGTATAATCAACTGTATCTAGCTGCTTCTAAAATGTGTGAATCTAGCTGGTTTGCTGAATGATAGAAAATTACACTGATCATTTGCCTAACAAACTGGCTTCAAACACAAAGACCTTATTCTGAATCAATATGATTAAGCTTAATGCAAACTCTGTATAAGGAGTAATTATTAGTACTATACATTATAGTATTATCTCCCTAGTGTAAGAAACTAAAAGAGTAAATAAGATACAAAAGGTGCAATAGATATTGTGAAAAAGAAAGAAACTTCTCAAAAGGAAAGTACAACTGGGATGGGGAAAGGAGAAAAGATATATATATATATATATACCCACACACACAAGCTAGCTAAGATAATTGTACTACTAATTTCTGTTAGTTTAGGAGCAGTTAGTGTTTATATTGTTTGATCAATCTTACATGCATATATATCTGGGAATCCGAGCAACTACTCTGAAGATAACAATATGCCATATAATAACCATTTTTAATTTCCTATCATCTTGTTTTGAAATTCTGTATCATTTTTATTGTTTTAAAAAGAATGTTTAAAATAAAAAACCAAAACAACAAAATACAAACATTTAGTCTTTATTTATGAACAATACTTACCCCTAGTCTAGGTAATCAAAAGATATAAATGTTTAGAATTTTCTGATTCATTTGTGAGTCTTTGCTCATATATTTTCCGTAGTTTATATAAACTAGATATGAAATTCTTCCAAAGACTGGTGGCAGTACAAATACAGCATCATATTCACTGGGAATTGTTATTGGTTTCTGATCATTTGAACATTTGCCTTTTTACCATAATTAACAGAAGTAATATATGTGTGCAACACATGTCAGAACCTTACCCACCAATACTAGAAATTCTACAGTGTGAAAATAGCTGAGATATAATGACTGATAATGACATTAAACTTTAAAAAACAGAGGGTTTTTCTGTTGGATAGACTGGAAAATTTTAAATTATTGATATAGCCTCCCACAATTTATTTTATAATAAGCTAATTTTCACTAGCACCTCCATTCATCATATCAAGGAAAGAAAATAATCTTAAATGCCTTAGCTTTAGAATCTCTTGGTCATTGGACTGATGTCAGATCACATGTTTAACAGATGAAATTTGCTAATCAACACATCTAAGCAATTAAAAACTAGTTAAGAAACTCACAAAGATAAAAGTATACCAAGCTGGGTTCAAAGTAGGAAGAGGAGAACTGAGGAATTTTTCAGGCATTGTTCAAGTAAACATAAAGCAAATAATTATTTCTATTACCAAGCAGCTAAATCCAGAATTCCTTTTTACTGAACTGTGGTCATTGGACAGAGATTGGCAGATATCAGGATTTCTCATCTAATGCTGATGCTTTCAAAATTTGTGTATTTACAAACTACATAAGAATTACATGAGACATACACAGTGTGGCTCCCAAGCTCCTCAGGGTCTCCTAGTCTTTTTTTGTTTATTTCTTCACCTTGAATAAATCATACTAACATGATAATACCGATCATCCAGGAATCTATTTCTAAGTAAACTTTGTGAAAATGAATATAAAACAAATATAAAAGCTATAAAATACTTAAATGTGAATAATTACATTTATGACATACAATATCAGGAAAACCTTTTCTACCTAGGCTGTCATCTTGGGACTCTTTTATTTGTACCTTTCACCTGTACTTAAAATGGTTAATGAAAGAGACATAGAGTAATCCTCAAACAGCACAGGAAAAAATCCACACTTATAGAAAGTCAGTTTATCCGATTAACCCAAGAAACAAGCATTGTATCAGCCACAATTACCATGACAAGACATTTTCTGCTGGCACTGGGAATTCTGGCCTGACTTTCTTTCTAGTTGTATCCTTGAAACTGTCACAGACCCTGCAAAGTCAATCTGCTCTCCTGTCCCTCTGTAGCTGAGTCTTTATGTAGGCATAGCGCTCAGGAGAAACCCACTACAGTACTGGGAAATATGCAGACAAACATCAAGCATATTCCATAAATGTTTAAATTTTAGTCTTAGAAAATTTGGCTCCCCTTTAAAAAGAGACCCATTGGAACAGAACTCCAGCCCCATCTCCTGCCCCTGCCTCGCCCCCTCTAGTCCTGTGACCCAGAGCTGGGTGGCCCTGTATGGAGGCCTGTCTGACTGGGCTCTGAGGTACAGGGGTCCAGGAGTCATCCCTACTCTGCCTCTTGCAGCTTGTGGCATGGTGGAAATCACTTCAATCTTCAGCAGCTCCTTTCTGAGGAACGAATTATGCGGTATGATCTGCAAGAGGACTGTATGAGAAGAATGTCTGTGAAGTGCATAGCAAAGAATTCGACACTTAGTAGGAAGTCAATAAATACAAGCTGTTACAATTATTTGCATACAAACACAGAGCCCTGAGAGAAAAAGAATATATGCACAAGAAAGGTTGAGAATCTACTACTGTTTCTGAACTGCCATAAGAACAACAGCAAGGTTTTATTCAGTTGTCAGGTGTTCTCCCCATGAAAGCTTATCACATACTGATTAAGCTGATGTGTGCCTTGCAGAAGGTGTATCAAACGCATCTTCCAGTGGAATGATACCTTCAAGGACTCTCTTAAGAGCCTTTGGAATGCATACAAAAGATCCAATCAGCTTCATAATAACCAAAGAATTAGCTGGCTTGAAGGAATATTTGTTCCTTCCTAGCTATTTTGTCAGTGAAGGTCATAGAGTCCACAGGGAATTATCTGGAGTGGCAAACATGCTGGGAGATTCAGCTGTATGTTTCTTGGCTGTGATGTGGGAGGTCCAGACACTCACTCTGCTCCTTTCTCCCAAGCCCAATAAGAAACAGAGGCCCCCAAATTATTTCATGACCAAATGGATGGACTGCTATTCTGGGTGGTATGAAGCCAATGAACAAATCCAAAAGCACCACAGCTGTGAGATTAAGTCTTGACAAGTAGAGCCCTAGAAGCCCCATTAAAAATGTGACATGTAAGCTGTTAGATGTTCGGTGTTTTTCAATAAACACAAAGACTCGTATTATTCTTAAATTTCAATATTTTCCAGGACATATTCCTAATATTCAATGAAATGTTTTCCAGCCTTTAAAAAGGAACTATAATTTGAAAAGTGGGCCTTTCCAGATGCATCTGGAAGATAGGGAAGATCTTTAGTCACAACTCTCCCATGATTTTCCTCCATGAAAAGTGCTCTGTGCTAAGGAGAGGAAGTGAATTTCTGTCAGAGGATCTCTTACACAGGTCTTCAATACAAAGTCCTTTCTTTTATTGATGCCCTTTTTAAACATTGGAGTCTTAATGAGTCTCCGCTAGTTGATAAATTTGGTTCAATAAAGACAGTTTGATCTAACAACACAGCCAGAGAGTCATTACCAGGAACATTCCTACATTCCTGCTCCTTTTTCTCTTTCTGCCTCAGGCCTGAAATTTTATCTTATGTTGTAGCATATTTGCATGTGAAGTTGTAAGTAACTGTCAGGCTAATCTCTCACACTAATTTATGGGACTAATTAGAATATGATTGAAAGAGCGCTGGACTTGGGAGCTATAAGAGCTGGGTTCTAATTTGAAAGCTGGCCCCAACCAGCTGTAAGACTTCAAAAAAGCATGGATTTGCACTAGGCTTTGATTTTCTCAGCTATTCTATAAGAGGGATGGACTATGAATCCCTTTATTACCTTCACAATTGTGAAATTTGTATAAATTCCAGGTTTCACTATGACACATACTACATACTCAAAAATATTAGTTCGTGTAAGATAACAAAGTTAACATTCAGTGTACAACTATTTAGATCTATGCTTTTATTTGATGTGATTTTTGTCAAATAACATCTAATGACAAACGAGGGAAAATTGCGAAGTATGATTTCATCTTTTAAAGCAACAATCAAAAATCAAATGAATCCATGTATGTATGGAACTGTATATGTTTTTTAACTACATGAGGTTTGGGGGAAGATCCCAGAAACATTTTAGGTAGATGTAGGCATAGTTCTAGGAGTATGTTTAGTAAGTAAGGTTTGATATTGTTGTGTAGGATAGAAAGAGAGGAAAGGGAAACTAAATCAAAATGGAAAAAAAACAAAGCTTGCTAAATTTCTCCCCAGATATTTGTAAAACTGGTACAATCATATTTGTTCATTTCAGTAAAATTATATATCATATACATGCATGTATAAAGGGAGATTTAAAAACAATTCAATTTACTCTTTCATGACAAAGAAATTCAGTCATTTTCAGTGCTGGCTCTGAGGCACACAACTGGATGCACCATCTGTGTGAATGCTAAGCGCTATCCAGTCACCTTGTAATGATTCATTAGGGCAACACCGTCAGTACAAATGATTTATCCCATTGCTGTCATCCCTTTAACCAGTGGCTCTGATGGTTGTGTGAGTAGCAAAGTTCACTAAGAGGACTGCTCCAGGGCTGAGGCTTTGTAAAGAGGATACAATTTAGGGCCACGGAGGGATGGAGCCGGTGAGAGAGAAATGCAAGTGATCAACATTGCAGTCTTGCAAATGATTGCCAAAGATGCTGGAAAACATGGAACAAATAAAAGCCTCTAGAGTAGAAGTTCAAAATGGGTGAAAGACTAGGCAGACCTGAGAGGAAGTGTGGGTATGAGTTCTCACTGAGAAAGAAAATTCGATACAACTCTATTTGTGACAAGAGACCAAGGAAGTAGATTCCTGTGGCTGTGTGAGGAGAAAGGACCCTAAAAGAGCCTAGTCAAGGGACTATCAAGCTGGGCTCTTTAGTGGATTATCTGAGTAAATGAAAATATCATACACTAGCAAGGCAGAGATTCAAGGTCGGCCTTAAAAATGTTTCCCAACTCATTTATGGCTATGGATAGAAAACATTTCCAAGTCCATAAGTGTGCTACAAGGAGAAAGAAAATGGTGTGCATTCCACGGCATAATTGTCCACAGAAGATACATTATCAGGAGCTTTTTTCTGCATGGACAGAGTATGAAAAATACTCAAAAATTCTAGTGGGAAAGAAGGAAGCTGCTAGATTAACCACCCCTATTCTCCAACTGTGTGTATGTGTTTGTCTATGTGTGCGTGATGATAGGGGAGAAATGGATGCAGAAAACTAACGTGTCCTTCAAGGAGATCCAGGTTTCAAAAGCAGAGGGAGAATGTGGAGAAGACAGAGGATTTGCTAACAATTCTTGAACAAGACATCTAGGCTTAGAGTCACGCCTGCAGTGGAAAACAAGAGTCAGTCGGGCAACAGACCTAAAGGTGAAGTGAAGTTTGCCAACCAAAAGGAGCCTGCCCTTTGAATAATGCCTGACGGTCTCCAGGAAGTGAAAAGAAGTACGAATGATTATCCTGAAGAGTCCCAAATCTATCTCTGGTTGTTTTGATATAGGTGTTAGATTGAGGCACAAGGACATGCTGCTGTATAGGACAGCATCCAAGGCTTCAAGTATGTCGTGCAGCGCGGCCTGCACTTGGGGAAAAACAGTGGTCATAACTACTGTCTCATGATCACATAAAGTGGCTAAGGCAGGGTAGAAGATTTACATCTCAAGATCCCCTCAAAATAGTAACCAATGACAAGCCAGAGGAGTGGCCAGAAGCAGAGCAAAGAAAAGATAATGATGATGTAAAGTTTGTTGAGCTGCATACAGTGTCCAAACTCATGTGACTTGTGCTCAGGCCCAATTGTGTCTATTGCAGGAATCTGAAATTCTCCCTTAAAAACAATCACCTTCCTTAGGGCTACTTCTAGAGCTTCTTCCTGCTACCCTGAACTCTGACACTGCAGCTTGTGTTAATCTGTATTACCAAATTGTTCTCAACCATTTACTTGCAGTTCAATAAGGACGGGGTAGTGATGTCTGTGGAGTATGCAGAAATGGAGAGGTGATAATAAAAGCTCAGAAACCATTTAAAAGATAGATATTTGGAAAGCTAAAGAACTTCCTTTTGTCTCCATCACATCCTGAAAATGGCCAATAAATGTATCTGAACTGACTGAGAAGTCTGCATTTGCAGAAGCCTTGCAAAAGAGGAATTAATATTTGCCAGATAGACCACAGTACAAAAATACTGAAAGTATGAAAGACACGTTTGGCCATCATTCATAGTGTCCTCATACTAACCCCAAGAAGAAATTATTGTGTATATATTTTACTTGCCAATAACTTTATGTATGCTTCCTTAGGATAAACAAACTGGTGAACCATAGATTTACTAAATATAGATAGTATCAAATCACCTGCTCATACCTTAGTTCTACAACTGTGAGAGGGGCATGAAGCAAGGTTGCTCTGCCTGATGGATTCCTCACATATACCACCCACTCTTCCCCACTCAGCACACACACACACTCACAAACTGGCAGAAATCCGAAAGACACACTCATCCATGAGAGCTATTATTTGTTATTTCTTTCTTGACTCTTTTTTTAAAAATGGGGAACTTCAGAAAGAAACAAGGAAATTGGGCTTTTCTCTGCATAAAGGAGAGAAGCAAAAGAGAGACAGAAAATGAGAAGAAATCCACAGGTTTGAGACGGTGTACATATCTAGCAGCTAGGTACTATTCGACACCATTATGTCTTCCAAAATGAGTTTCCATTTCTCCTGTCTAGAACCAGTCACAGCAGAGGAGGGCAATAGCAGTATTTGGAGAGATATGCTCAAGTGGCATGTACATCAGACAGTCCCCTTTGAGATCATTATCATCAAACATTTCAGGATTTGCTGGTGTTCAGTCAGTTAACTTCACCCCTGAAAGACTTTGACAGGGTCATGAAATGACTCACACCTAAGGTCCAAATTGCTCTGAAATGTGAAATAACACAAATAAAATGGTTTCTGCTACTGAAAAAATTATTCCAACATGATAAGGGTATTAAATTATTAGAATGTAATGTTTCAACATAAGAAACATCATCAGTTTGAGATAAAACTCAGCAGCACTTTCACTTGTTGTATAAGATCAAATTTCAGAAAAAAACTGGGAGCAGGCAGAAGGGAGGGATGGCACAGAGGATAAACAGACAATATAGCTACTCCTGAGAACACACAGCAGACCATCTCTTTCTGGAGACTTGGAAGGTGCAGTAAGCTTACTGGTGATGCTCCAGTGACTGGCTTAACACAACTAGAAGAGAGAGGAGAAAGAGATCACCTGAGAGAGTTGAGGAATTGGAATGTCTTGAGCAGATGTCACTCTTCTAACACAGATGTGCACATTCTTCCAAGTAAGTGATAGCAAAGATGCGGCCATAGGAAAAGC